CAGATCTACCCTGGCTGGAAGGAGAAGCTTGGCTACACCGGTGAGTCCTCTGTGCAGGCGGCATCTTTCGACTGGGCCAAGCGTGCCTAGATTGTAGATTTTTTTGCCAGTGGTGACTATTTTGGGAGCAGGGATTCGTGCTCCAGTTAATGTCGATGTAGCTATGCGCAATTCTAGCTCTACACATCCCTACACAACTTTTCCAGCTTGCACGAAAAATCTTTTTCATCGGTCTCGAGACCGACCTTACTTTCGGACTCCGAAGAGCAGCTGAAGGCATCGAAGCTTTGAGGGGCCCTTTCGTGTAAAAAGACACCGACCGCAGGGACTGCAGGGACCTGCGCGCGTTTTTCACACGTATCGATGCGTCGTGTTTGGCCGAAGCAACAACGCATCGATACGGGGCTCTTTTCGGTGTGTTTTGGCGCAAATCTGTCCATGATGCGAGCAGATCGGTCCACAGTTTGTCTTCGATGCCAGGTGATTGACTTTGGCTTGTCTGCGATCCGCTGCAAAGGTGGGATTCAATTTTCGGTTTGGTGGAAGTAACTTTGACTGCTGTTTCATTCATATGATCCTTGGATCTAGACCTGCTTCAGTTGCAAGATTCTGCTTGGAAGATCAGTCATGATGGCGAACATGAACAGCGCTCGAAAGACATTCAAGGTGCAATAGCAGCCAGGGTTGTAGCCTTTTCGTTTCATCCGCTCGGTGAGGCAACCCACTTGGGTCCTTTAATTCTTGGTCCATGATTCACAAAAGGGGGAGCTTTCGAATGTCCTCACGGATCCAATGCGAACGGAAGTGGAAGACACACACACACACACCGAACACTCCCCCAAAGGGCTACCCGTCGGTGGGGGCAGCTTTCCATGGCTTTGCGCTTTCCTGTGCCACATGTGATTCGGATCCCAAGCGCTGCTCCGCCCCGAGCGCTGGCGGCTGGTGCCACGGCTCACCGAGCCGCACTGGCCGCGCTCGCAGCGCGTGCATGGTGCAGGAGGCGTGTTAAATTGGTCGACCCTCCAATCGAGGAACATGGACGTGCAGGGTTTGCCTGGGAACATGTTCCAACACACCATTGTCCACTGATTTTGAAACGTGGCTTGTTTGGTCTACTGGTGCAGTCCTTGTCTATGCCTGGCCTTGTTGTCGACAGGGCTGGCCGCTGGTTGGCGACTCGGGCCACCCCCGGAATTCGGACCTTCAATTTGGAGGCTGGGAGGGTGGAGTTAGTATGGATGTAACAGCCCCTCAGCCGAGAGCAGTTGACATCCAACATGTCAGACATGCTGCCACAGTTGTAGTGATGCGCATCGTGGAAAGGATTGAACAGGTGACGGTGCACATTAATGACTCCTGCAGACGAGCGACATGCTATCTCAGCCTGAAGGACCCCACTACGGCCTTACATCAGAAATACCACGATGGAACATTGCAGTGTCTTGGATTCAGAAGAAAGCAGAAGAATGGACAGGTTCTTTTTAAACCATACTGTATCTTCTTGCAAGAATCGCACACCAGTAAGTCTGGGACCTTGGAGAGGATGAAGCCTAGGTACACCATGGACAATATGGAGTGGGTGGAGCAGCGAGGCCATCCAAACCACAAGCTGTGTGCACCAACTTCAGTGCATTCATGTGCATTCACATGTTTCTGTTTGAGGCCAACCACCGAGGCCTTTAGATTACATTTGGGAGAACTAGGTAGAGCCTATCACATCCAGCTTCCAGATGGTTTTTCCTGCAAGGCTTCAGCAAAGACGACCACCTGTCAGAGCAGCAGAAACCTGGCAGCTGAGACGACCGATGAGAAGGTTCTTACCCAAGTGCTCAGTTTGCGTGCCAGGGTGAGACCTTCAGACTTCGTGTGAACAGCAACTTCGTAGATTTTATTCGAGTTCCTTTTCCACCTTGCTACGACTCTCAACGAAGATGAGTGCGGCTGGCTAGTGCTGACAAAGTCAATTCATCCTTCCAATCAACCAGACTAACTCTCCAACATCCACAACTTGGTTCATATTGATCCGCTCAGGTTGTCTCCACGTGAGAGACCCAGTCACCCTTTCTGCTCTCTTCGCTCAGGAAGATCGACCTGCGCCACGAGGCGCGACGGCGGCTGTGCCGCTGGCCGCGGCTGCTGCCGGAGGATCTCCAGCGGGTGGAGCACGCGAAGGGGCCGCAACGCTTCGGGCCAGGCGGACCAAACGACCCCGGCGGCGGATTCCGGCTTCGGACCAGGAGTTTCTGGTGCATTTGCAGAGTTGGGGGTTGGGGGTAGTGTTGTGAGAAACCCAAGAGGAACAACACACAATGACAGTAGCAAACATAACCACAGCACATGCCGCCAGTGGACCAACAGGCTGGCAAGAGAACATTTGAGGATTTGTCTGTGTGACTGGGGGTTCCTTGGTTTCTAAGATGGCACGCGCACCCCCGGTCTGTGTGCAATGAATGGTTCCAGGCAAGAATGATCTTTTTTTGAGGACTGTGAATCTTTGAGGGTGGGTTCCCATCCGTTTCAGTGATTTTTTTTCCCTTCGTGCTGCGTGCTACTCATGAATGTGATCAAGGGGAACTGAAAGAGGGGGTATCTCTTTCACAGGTGAGTTTTTATGACATGGTTTTGTGGAGGACACGTTTTCTTTCACTGGGTTGAGGAAGAATCTATAGAGCACGATCTTCGTCCATGTGAGGAAATTGCAGATTCAGAAGGAGCTAGCTGCCCATGGAGGATTATGTATCCCCAAACTGTGTGTCTATCTCAGGCGTCTTCAGGGTGCTCCATCTGGGGCACGCTTTCTTTTTTGTTTGTGCCAGCTCGCGCCAGAGGTCCCTTGTGAGATGTCCGTCTGCATTTTCACTGCGCAAGGGCGGCATTGTGGTTGTGGGTGGCTGGTCTTCGCTCGTGGCTGACTTTCGCTCGACATTCGATGGGCATTTTGTGGAGAAGTTGCGGTCTGCCACGTGGGGCATCTCCTGCCTTCGATTTGCAGGAAAACGCAAGCAAGATACAGTGGCTTAAGCTTGATGCTGACTTGGGGGTGCATGGCTCTAAGTACAAGCACTGAGGTGATGAATCCGTGCATGCTTGACTGACTGACTGACTGACTTGCGGACTTTTGGCAAGAGCTCTGGTGTGTTTCTTCATGTTTCTTCCCTGCCTTCTGACAGCTTGACAGAGCCATTGGGCGTGCAAAGTAGGGGCCTTCGCTACGCTGGCACAGGCTTGCGCGTGATCGGCAAACAGTGACGGCCTTTCTTGTCTGCTGGCATCAGTTGCGATTGTTGGCTATCAAGCATGAGGTTTGTGCAACCTTGGGCGTTGTGCCTTTTTCCAGCTGCCCTTGAGCAATTGGTGCCCATACAACTTGTCGAGCTTGATTTTTGGTTGCGCGGTGACCGGTGGTTCCACTGTAAAATGCCTCATGGGTTTTCACTTCACGAGGTAAATGATGACAAGTTGTGGAAGCACTTGGCACACTGGTTGAGAGAGATCTGGAGGAGAAAGGACTTCTAGTCCACCCCTTCACACAGCCACGAACTTGCTCCAAAGAGTTTCGACGATGTCAGTCTTGCCTGCATAACTTTGGTCAACCAATGGGTTGGGCAGGATGGTTCGAAGTTTGCTTTGGCATCTGGTGCAGTGCCACGTTGTAGGGTGAAGGCTTTGGTGCCTGGTTCTTTACCTTTCTCTTTTTGGCTGTTCTTGCGGCACGTGCTGGCATTGACGACAGGCTTTGTCCATTCAATGTGTTTAGTTTTCTCTCCTATTTGTTGTGCTGGTTTCCGAAGCGGTGCGTTCTCGCTGTGGTGCTGTGCACAATTTCGGACTTGGTGGTCACTTCTCGTGGCAGGCGCTGGATGGAACCATCTTGTTTTGGTGGTCCAAAGTCAACTTTTTGTTGCAGGTGCAGTGAATCGTGAGCTTTGGACAAGTGGCTCGTTTTCAGAATCTTGATGAATTTTGGGGAAGTGTCAAGGCGTTTTGGCATATTGATGTTGTCTTTGGAAGTGCTTCTTGGAGCAAGATGCAGTGGCGGGCCTGCCGATGTGAATCAGGATGTGCAGATTTTGTGGCAACGCAGCCCTAGGTGCAGATTTCGTGGCAGGTGCAGCGCTTTGTGAACATCGAGGTGCAGATTTCGGGGCAAGGTCCGCACCCCATGATTTCAATCGCTACTTTGGCGGCAGCCAGCCAAACCTTCGCGGATGACATGATTGATGTACGATGACTGTAGCACCATTTGAAGAAACATCCCATGGGGCAAGAGCCTGCCAGACAGACTTGTGCATGCGATGAAGATGCCCAGAGCTCCCCTCTCAATAGAAAATGCAACGAACGGTACATAAAGGTACAGTAATAGGTCAGACTTAATCCACCACAAGCTTGGCTGAATCCTAATGAGCACATCCCCACCGAAGCCTGTGCCCACCAAGCTTTTCGCTCAGAGGTGCAGCCTGGGGAGACCCCGAAGAGCACGTCTTCGTGGTGAGCCTGGCCCGGCGTCCTGAGAAGCGTCGCAGGGTCTGGCGGCAGCTGGAGGAACACCAGATGAGACTTGGAGAACGGGGGGAAATGGGAGACGATCAGACTCGGGTATGTCAACTGAGGCCCGAATACGCACCGATGCAGCATCAATACCTGAACGGTGTCGCCACACTACCTACCCACAACGAAAACAAACGTCATCACATTTCTTTAGATTCTTCCACCAGCTTTGTTGATTGAACACGCCCACCTTCCACCGATACAAGATTTCCTTCATGGGGCCTTTGGTTGTTTGTGGGGAATGCTCAGCTGGTGTGCGGGCTCAGCTGGTGGATTCAAAGAATGCTCAGCTGTTGATGGGACCTCATGACCTCGTGACCCTTCGTTAGTCCAACACTTGTTGCCAACAACGACAAGTTCAATTTGGACTCCTGTGGGGCTGGAGTTTGGAAGTTGATAGGCTGCCAGGCTTGGAGGTCCATTGATTTTGATTTAAGGATGAACATATCGCACGACCTTGCGGTTTTGCAGCGCCGTAGCGTGTTGCAGGTGCTTCCTTGGGATGTGGAGAGTTCTATGGGCTTCAATCATTTTGGTGGTGCATGATGCCAGAAACTGCTGCTCTCCCATCCAATTTTGGTTCCTTTCAGGGAAGACCTTTGATGGAAGGGTCATACTTTGCACTCCCTCAGTCTTCAAGGCACTCGGACGACCTGACAGCCCGTCAGTCCTAAGGAATGCGACGGTGGTGAATGCCATGGACGGTGATGGCGTTCTCTATCAAGATGACCTTGATGCCATGGGTGTTCGAATTTTGCCTGGCTACAACTCAGGCTTTAGCAACCACAACATGCCATACACCACAGGGGAGGCGCGCGTTGACAAGCACGTGGGTGCATGTCATGGGGGCATGTCCACATGGACCATCGAGTCGATAGGCATAGGTATCAAAAAAAATAAAAAGAGCATCAAAAAATAATAAAAACAGGATCAACAAAAAAAAAAGCGAATCAAAAAAAAAATATTCCTTGATAGGCCTCTTCTGCTGCTCTCCTGGCCTTGTGGTCTGCAGGTCCTCTGGTAATGTGGTCCCTTGGTCCTTTGGTCCCTTGGTCCTCTGGTCCACTGGTCCTTTGATCCCCTGGTCCCTTGGTCCTTTAGTCCACTGGTCCCCTAGTCCTCCGGTCTCCTGGTCCTCTGGTCCTGTGGTCCGCTGGTCCCCTGGTATCCTAGTCCTTCTGTCTCCTGGTCCGCTGGTCTTTTGCTCTCCTACGGCGCTCGTCTGTCGATCTCCTGGTCCCCTGCTTGTGCAAATAGAGGCTTGATTGCTTTCTACTAGAGGCAGCTCCGTGGGAAGAAAGTAGGTACCCAACGATAAGGTTGCCGTCCAGTCATTGAGTAGCCCTACTCGAAAAGTGGTTCACCAGTGGAAATAGCTCTGTACTAGGAGGGGGCTCCTGGGGAGGTACACTCTCCTCTACTACCCCAACCATCCTCAGTGGGCTAGAATATTTTTTTTGATTACCTTTTTAATTTTTTATTGATCCCCGTTGAATATTTTTTTGATTCTATTTTTATTTTTATTTTGATCCCTTACCCACACATTCATCGTCGATCCCTTCCAAAGGTGGGATGCTTCATGAGCCACTATGCCGTGTGGCACCGCATGGTGGAGCACAATATCCCAGCTGCCTTAATACTGGAAGATGACTTTGACTTTCAAGCTAACTTCAAGGCGCGCCTGGGGGAGTACCTGTCGGAAGCTCAAGGCTTTGATTGGAACCTCATGTCTCTCGGCCATGTGCTAAAAACAGCTGTTGGGGCTTGAGGACTGATATTGTCAGGTGCTTTTGGTTGATCCATGTCCCGAGCCATACTTGCATGTGAAGATGCATGTCATGTAGACGACGCTGGATTTAAGAACACTCCCATTTGAATTGAACAACCTTCATATGTTTTTCTTTAAACTATACATATAATCAAGAAAAGTCTACAGTCTACATAATGTAACAGTACATGAATAGTACTTGGTATACCGTATATATATATATATATGTACATATATATATATATACACATGATATATATATATATATGGCCGTGGGTCAAAGCCCGGAGCCCGGTTGACCTCCAAGGTAGTCTATTCATGTCAATTCTTTGAATAATCCGTGGTCATGTTGGCCCGTTGAAAAGAGGTATGTTGGACGCAGCCCCATGGAGAATGACATCAGCATGGTGTCAGAGCATGTTGTAGAACCCGGCTACACGTTGTGGACGGTGGGGTACATTCTCCGGCTGGATGCTGCAAGAGCACTGCTAGAAACACAAGCTCACCAACATATGCACCTGGCCTCTGGCTGGCAACTTTTGGTGTCTTTCTACAGGAAACCCCCCATTTATTTTCACCTTGGGTCAAATCAGACATGTTCTGCCACTTCTCCAGGATTCCTTTGGATGATTTCTTTTCCATTTCCATGGGCTGTGGTATGGATGGCCAGTACAATGAGCGCTCTTTGGAGTGGAGCTCCTACATCCAGCCGATCCTGAGAGGTCTTGCCTTCAACCCTCCCTTAGTCATGCCCTATGTCGGCTCGATGTTCAAGAGCGATACCGCCATGCTGCGGCCCGGGACACGCTACGTGCAGGACCTGCCGAAGAACGCGGCCGAGGGTGAGGCCTTGGAGTTGGATCTGAGGTGTCAAGGACTTGAAGACGTGCGGCCAATGCCGAAAGCTTGGAGGGAGGCGCTGGACATGATTGAAGCAATCATGGCCCGAGCGATCCTTCACTAGACCTCGGAAGCTCCCAAAAAGAAAGACGGGCGTGGACTCGTGTGGGAGTCGCGCGGGGTGCGGGAGAAAGGCCGTCTTCTAACGGGTTTTGAGCACGTTGGATCACCGTCATGGCCACCATGAGTCAAGTGCAAACCAGATCAAACCAGTCTTCGTCTGGTGGCACCCAGGTCTGGTGTTCAGCGGGTGGTCCCGTTTTCAGTGACTGAGCGCCCCCCTAGTGCCAGGAGATGAAGAACATACCTTTCTTCATGAACAGCTGGGCACACGCTTCTTTGTTGCACCGGCCCCTTGTCCACACATAGCCCGTTTTTGGCACCGAATCGAATTGGCAAGGGGCGAGTGATCACAGCTTGGCCTCGCCGACAGGTGCTCGCCAAAATGGGGGACCTTTGGGGACCCCGAAAACCAAGGAAGTCATTGACAAGACCATTCCATATGGATGCAAATGCGACTGTTGGTCCTTGGGAGTGATGCTGTGCCTTGGTGAACAGGGAGGGAGAGCGGTTCGACTGAGACTGGCTGTCGGCTAACGGTGTGTTTGGTGCATGTCGGGATATTCACAGAATCGTTTTCCGTGATGGAAACAGACTCAGTGACTATTTGGCCACCAACCTGCCAAAGCCTGACGAAAGAAACTGGAGTATTCCAAGTCAGGCCCCACCAGCTGGCTGTGAGATTTTTGGTCTCACACTAGATATTTGCAATTCTTCGTTTGCATAGTTCCTATTCCTATATGAGCCAGGCTCAAAATTAGTGAAAGTGATGAATAGTCAGTGAGTTCAAAATGCATGTTTTGCTCCAAAAACGATAACACACACCAAAAACGATAACGTGACGGATGTGAAAAAACAATAATACACCGCCAAATCCTGATGACCTGCAACTCCACAACATTTCTTTTTTTGTTGCTCATATGTTCCTATCGCCCATTTCAGTTGCTAATTTCTTCAGTTGACTTTTTGCTGTTGCCGATTCGGTCAGCTGGACAAAAGCTTGAAGCGCAGGTACATCATTTTGACAGATGAGCACCCTTGCTGCCCTGATGCTCACAAGATGGAGACACCAGCCCTGTTCGGGACCGGCTTTTTCGTGGTTCCGGTGTGTTCTAGCTCTCAGCACTAAACCTGATTGTTCGCCAAAACGGCACACCAGCCAGGAAGAACCTGAGGACAAAATCGCACATGTTCTTTCTAAGTTACTGTATCCTCCCAGCCCGGCGGCCTTCCGCCAAGCCTCCTGCAGGAAGATCCTGGCCGGCCGAATCCGTCAGAGGCCATTGCAGGCGTCACTGACGGGTCTGTGGGTTTGTTATTGGTCGGTCTGTGCTTTCTTTTCCTTTATTTTCGTCTTTATCCGCCAGTACAAGCGGCAAGTCTGCTTCGCAGCCGAAACACGCAAAAAAGACCGTTGTGCGAAGCCAGGATGCAGGGGTCGAATATGATGCTGCACAACTCCTGATGGGCTTGCTGGCTCCTTCGGCCTGAATTTGGCTTGCTCGCAGAGCTTCCATCGAATCCGTCAAACCGGGAGCTGACGATCCTGTCGGTGGGGTGGGGAGGTGGCCGATTGGGTGCTGTATCACCAAGGAGAAGGATGCATCCACCAGATGCTTGGCAGAGACCATGGCTTTTGGCACTTGACCATGTTGCCACGTTCCTTGTTTTGGATGCCCTTGTTTCCTGGGTGAGCCAGTCTAAGCTTGCACTCTTGTGCGTCGCTGTAGAGCGAGAACAACAAGATCAGGCCTTGGGTTGCCCTAGCTGCCTTGCTAAGCCTTTCTATGCATATAGGGCCTGGGAAATCTGGTGAAGTAGCACAAAATGGTACCTGGAATGAGTAAGTTTATTTTTCCTCACGTGAGAATAAACTCATAACTCATTCCAAGCGTCTTTTTTTTCACCCCAGTGTCGCTCTGCTCTCAGGGATGGATGCGCAGGGGGCTCTACGCAGCAAATGGTTAGCCAACGTCAAGGAGACGAGAGTTGTCGGGGTCAGGCATCCCACCAAGGGGCCTTGGAGGAGTTGGCATCACAAGCTTGTTCCAAGTTGAGAATTCTCTAAATAGCCAAAGCCACTACTACCCCTAAGTGCATAATTATGACTCAAAACCTTCTGAAGTTCACCCTTGACTTGGTGCATTCTTTTTGGTGTGTTTTTGTTGGCAGGACCGGCGGCCCACGAGCTACAAAAAGGAGGGGTTAGAGGTCAACACGGCAGAGACGCCGCAGTCGAACAAATCCGCGAGCCCAGTGTCTCCGATGACACACAGTGACTTGGGCTTTTTGACTTCAAGAGCCGATGACCCCCCGAACCAAGTTGGAGCGGGGTAAGCATTGGTGTAGTTGTGGAAGTAGACCAATCGCTGGGATGCATATAAGTCAAATAGTTATAGTTATTAGTTTGCTATATATGTACCACAATAGCTTATACAATAAAGTAACTAAATTAATGGCATATACACCATTTTCAATCAAAATGGCTCAATGCAATAAAGTAAGTGGCGGAAACTGTCCAAAACGCATCCTGAAAACCACGATAAACAAAACAAAATGCATTCTGGCTTTCAACACATTTATATAGTAGCCTCGCGTCATCTCCTGGTACAAGATGTATTTTTTTGTAGACCACCCCTCTCTCTCCCTCTCTCTCTCCAGCAAGAGCTTCTGCATGTCCGTTTCCCTTCATTGCTTTTTCTCTCTTGAATTCTGTTTCTCTTTTATACTTATTCTCTCTTAATTCTCTCTCTCTCTCTCTCTCTTCCTCTCTCTTTATTGGTTTCTCTTTGTCTTGTTTTACTGAGTATATCAGTGTTTCTGTTTTAAACTTTATTTTTTTATAAGTTTCCCTCGCATTGGAATATTAATATTTTTTATTCTATTGTTTAATATCTATGATCTTCTACCCTACCTGGCACCCAGGTGATGCCAATAAAGCCAAGTGCACAAACATGCATCACCAGCACCACCGCTATGTAAAGGAAGTGCCCCAAGTGTCCCGAGTGACCCTTAAAAGGTTGACAAGCCCCATCATCTTCTGCATAATGTAGTGCTTCCTTTCTCCTATTTCCGGCTTCTCCTATTCTGAAAGAAGAGGACGTGAACATTGTCCTGTTTGATACGGGTTACCCATGAGCCTGTTCAGAAATACTTTCCTTACCCTACCTCAATGTCTCCTTCCTCTCTCCTTTTATGTCCTTTTCCTTTCCTATCCTAGTTGTTTCCTTTCCTTTCCTCACCTCTGCTTTCCTGTCCTTTCCGACTTCTCCGTTCCATCCCGGTCCCTTCTGTTCCACTTCAAACTCCATTGACCTATTCACACCGCTTCGCGGTCGAAGCCGCCCGCACAGAGTAAAGGGAAAACATACACACATACACAGACATAGACATCCATCCATGCATACAGACAGGCTCAAGACACAGTGTTCAAGCTGGCTGCCCTTTCAAGTCCAGCTCGTGCGGCACCCCACTTGCGCACATAACCGGGAGTTTACCATCACCTCGAGCTCGGACACCACCGATTACAACACATTCATTGCCCGCAATCTTGATCTTCCACTTGGCCTTTCTTGTGGACCTCTTCGGCACCTGGCTGATCTCGCCTCTACCTCCGTGGGGACCTGGAGGTGACTGGCACTTCAGCTCTGCCTCTCTCTAGGGCCTGAGTGTGTTCGGTGACCCGTTCTTTGCCTTCTCAAGCTCTACTAGCACAACCCTGAGGTGTCTCTGACCCTGGACTATGACGGCCTTCAGGGCTACCTCATGGTGCAGGAGCTATGTCACTTGCAGGCAAAGCCAGTGCACCAACTGAATATGGCAGGACAAGCTCAGACCTGACACGCGCTGCCGGCTATGTGGTTCTTGGTGGCCCATCCTCAAGGCCGCACAAGGCGGAACAGGTAAAGGCAAAGGACAAGGCCGGCTCACCAAGACGGACAATGCCAAGCACACACCTTGGTTGGAGGGGCACCACCAGGTCTAAGCAAGATGAAACCCCTGAAGAAGAACAAGCTCCAGAAAGAAGCCACTGAACTCCTTGAACCAGTCTGGAGTGGCATGCCCAATGAACTGCAAGACAAATTGCAGCATCTTGGCATAGGACCCAAGAAACCGCCCGAGCCGGACCTCCATGAGATGCTCAAGACCCACATGGCGGCCTTGCCAGCTCAGGTCCAAGAGGCCGTCACACGCCTCACAGCTCCAGCACCAGTCTCCGAGCAGGACATTGCCATCAAGCTGAAAGGACAGGTCACTGAGCTGAAGAATCTCTCCATGAAGAAGACGCAGCTTCAAGAAAAGCTGGACCTGACTAAGGCACAATACCAAGGTCTTCTCACTGAGATGCAGGAGCTCCAGCAGAAGCTTAATGATGGCCAGCAGGCACTCAAGCTGACCTCAGAAGACTACATGAAGGCGGTGAACACTGAGCATAAACCCACTGAACTCGAGACCAGCATGGAGGTAGACCCGCTACCTGCGGCTGTCGAGACCTTCGTCGCCAATCTTGGCGTCTCACTATCAGCTGAACAGAAGACCCAACTCCATGGCCTGCTCAAGAGGCCCAATGACATGGACACGGACCTCTCAAAGCGCAGGAAAACGGACACACAGACAGTCCCGACACCGCCGGGGTCGTGTGGGTAACCCGTTGTCAATGCCACCAGGGTTTCAAGGGCTCCAGGTGCCGGTTCCCTTGGATGATTTTGAACAGGCACCAACACCTCATATGGTTTGCCGCGCTGCCTCAAAACCAGCACCGGCGGGGTCGATGACAATGGAAGATTGTGATGGGGAGCATGCACAAATTCCTTTGCCACAACTTTTGCAACACAATGCAGTTTCAAGGGATGCTTCAAACAAGTGTGAAGGGACTCACACCCTTGTTCATGAAGCGTATGATCACCTTCCTTCACAGGAACACAGTTTTGACTCTTTTCATCCCGCGACCGATGATGGCCTGGCTTTCGGTGCACCTGGCCCAGAAGTCGTGACCATCAAAGGAGGAGGTACACACAAGAAACCTCCCACCTCCCAAGGAGGGAAACCCATGATGCAGGGCACTTTC